GAAGCCGCTAAGCTCCAGGAGTATCGCCGACGGGGAAGGTATTTTGGGTTCTTAGGCTGCGAGCGAGGGTCTTCCTCTCGCTAAAAAACCGCGACTCGCCCAAGTGTACGACATTTGGATGAGGCATCCCCTTGGGTCTGCGAAGAAGCTCTCGCTACGGATGTTCCAACATCGCCTGCTGCGCCCAGCCTTGGCAAAATGCTCTTTTTTCTCTCTTGGCCTTCCTCTCTCTCTCTCTCTCTCTCTCTCTTCCGAGAGCCCCGCCGTGCCGCCCCCTCGCCACTCCTCGCTTCGTCGGGACGCGAGGGAGCGTGCTTGAGAATATTTGGCATACGTAATGGCACGGTTGATCAAGCTCGTGCTTGGCGCGTCTTCTCTCTTCGTCGGCCGCGCGACCTCGCGCCATCGCGAAGCGAAAGCGTCCGCCAAAATTCTCCCGCTCGACGCGACTCTTGGCCGCCGATCGCGAGCGGATCGGCGATCGGTTGTTACGAGGGACTTTCTTCGCTCCGCGGGGACATCGCGACGCGCGCATGCGCGTGACCGCGGCGGATGCGATCGGACGCAAGCGGACTTCGAGCGGTCTCAAAGGATCGTCGATTGGGCCAGGTCGTATGATATGGAACCTTAGGAATCCTCTCCCCCTCTTCGACGCTTGAAAATGAAGGGACAGATTGTACGTGTGTGTGTGTGTGTGTGTGTGTGTGTGTGTGTGTGTGTGTGTGTGTAGGACTTTGGGAAGAATATCGCTCTCTCTCTTCCTCGGCTCTTTCCGGCGCTCCGAAGTCGCCGACGTCGCGCTCCTCGCTGGAAACGCGCACGCGCGCGCAGCCTACAACGCGGAATGAAAAATCGCGGCAGCCGGGAAAAGTGGCGTTTCTTTTTTTTTAACAGCTAAGTATCGAGCGTGTGTGACACCATCGTCGTCGCTCCCTTCGATCTCTCCCCGTGGCCCTCTCGCGGCTGTCCCCGCCCGGATATTGTCCCCGGGATGGGCGCCGCTGCACCAGAGTTCTCATCGAAGGAAGAAACCTACACATGGACGGCAATTACTTTCTATGCTACCTACACTCGCATGTTTGCGTTTTGCACTTGGCGGGCTCTCGTGACGAGCGAATCTCACCGCGTCGGGTATCGCGTTATCCGTGTAAAAATTGATAGACACGTGCTGATCGCGCGTATGCACCGTCGTCGTCGTCGTCGTCGTCGTCGTCGTCATCGTCGTCGTCGTCGTATGATTCGCCGTCGTTCCGTGCGAATCGTAGAACGCGATAAATTTCACATACATGATTCGATATATAATCCAGACGTGAGATATCTTGAGAGACACACACACACACATACACACACACACGCGCGCATGTGCACGCGCACACACACACACACGCATACACAATACATACAGAGGGCGGTGTCAAGTCTACGGGGGTGGAAAGAAACGCAACGAGCTGCTTGTTTGTTCTTTGTTGTTGTCCGTGCGGCGACAATATTACGCGACTGACGGTTCCAAAGGGGTTTCCGCGGTTTGTACGATTTGTGAAAGGTTCGCATGCGCATGCGTGTACCCTGGAAAGCAAAAAACGGTTTCGACAGTTTCTTTTTTTTTCTAGTGACATTGGTAATCCGTCGTGTAGTTGTGAATTTGAGAATCGCTGCTGGACCAAACTGCGCGAACCAAAAGATCGCGAATCTCTTTAACCCCAATTACGCTCAATTATCTTTGAGCAGCGATTCTGAAATTTTACAACTAGACTAGTTACTAACGTTTGTAAAAGAAAAACTGTCGAAACCGTTTTGCCTTCCAGCGGACAGTCGTATCGATGAAAGATTGGGAAATGTGTCGGCAACACGATGCCTGCGGTTTTGAACACAACTTAGGATGGTAAAATTGATACCTTCGCGAGAATTGTCGGTCCTCCGACGAGCGTCAGTAAGTCACGGATTTCGCAATTTCAGCATTCGGCGCATCTCCTCGATGCGCAATTGACATGTCGCTTGACTAATCGAAAAGCCCAAGTCCCGCGTAACGTTATTATCCAATAAACAACATCGGTATGCCGGATGTTTCGGCGTGTTAAGTTCGATCGTGATCATTATATAAAACGTGATACGTACTGTACAAGATATAAGTAATGTGTACGATATAATATATACATACATACATACACATGTATGGGTGTGCACGTGTACGTATATATGTATATACAAGGTGTTAAAAAAGTATGCCGGCAAATCTTGAGAGATAGCAGAAGGTACGTGAAAATAAGAGCGATACGAGGTGGGGAAACTAACGATCGGAAACGACGCATCATGTATGAAGTAAAGGATGTTAAAGAAAAGAAAAATATTATATTATTATTCGACTATCATACGACTGCACTTTTACCAACATACCTTTTTATGTGCACAAACGTAAGTGCGCTCAGTTTCAACTAAATACAGCAATGTTGACACATAATTAGTTAAATATACATAAATTTGTAATAGCTAAATATATACAAATAATTAGCTAAATATATATAAATATATTTAAATTTCGTGAAATATAACCTTAAAATGTGACCTTTCTACGTTGCTACGTGGTTTCATTTTCTGCGCTTTTTACGTTTTTTGAAATTATTGAATCATTACTTCGTTGATCGGAAACTGAAATTGCATTTCCTCGTTTTTTCCACGTAAAAAGGTACATCGGTAAAATGCAATTGTATAATAACGATATTTTGCTTCAACACCTTATAACGCGCCTCCGATCGTTAGTTTTCCCCCTTATGTTGCTTACATTTACGTATCCTCTGTTATCTCTCAAAGTCGGTCGGTACACTCTTTCAACACCCTGTATACGTACATGTAGTATACATAATATACAAGATAATTTTACTAAATATAGTAAATTATAGTATTAAATTATACCTTGTATAATCGTATAATTGTACTATAATTATACCACAATAATCATCATGGTATAATTATGCAACACGATAATTATGCTAGCTATGCTAAATTATATTAAAGCATGAACATTAATCGGAAAAAACCTGGAAGAAACCCTCGTGCGGGCGAGTTGCCGCGAGTCTAGTCTACTCCGTCCAGCGTAGGTCGCGGCGCCTCGCCGATTTTTCTTCCCCCCGGGTAAGAAACACTTTTGTCATTTTATTGCGTTAAAATTGCGTGAGTTGCAAATCGCGCATCGTGGCTTACTTGTGAGACGGGACTCGTAACTGTCCCGCTCAAATCTCGTCGTCAACATATAAAATTTGCAAGTGTCCGTTTCGCGTTATATCGCTACGTCATACAAGTATATAATCGAGATCAAACGTATTTCGAAATAATCGGCTCGAGAGTGAAGAAACCGGCCCGCGAAACGATCGCGAAGCGAGAGGAGTATGAGGAGTAACGTACGGTTATACAAACGTGATTCTATCGTTCCACGTGTTCATTCGCGCGCGCGCGTGTGTGTTTGTATGTATGTGTGTGTATATATTATATGTATATATACATACACACATATATACATACATACGCGCACACACACACACACACACACACACACACACACACATATATAGAGTGATTCATTTTAACACATCATTCAATAAATTTGTAGGATGACATATAAATGGCGCTACTATTGACAAATCCATATGATTTTTAGGAAGTACTAACCTTCAAATGATACGTGTCAAAATTTCATGACAATCGGACGTTTAGTTCACAAGTTACAGTGGTTTTAGTGACGCACGACGTCGACTCGTTTTAGCAAGGCTTCAGTTTCGGCAACCACTTCTTCATTGGTGCCAAATCTCTTTCCCTGGAGCTTTCCCTGCCGATTTGACTCTGGAGTGTAGTGATGGATCCATGTTTCATCCATTGTTACATACCGCATCAAAAAATCTTTTTTATTGCGCTGAAACAGCTCCAAACAGCCCGCTGAATCGTCAACGCGTTGCTAAAACGAGTCGACGTCGTGCGTCACTAAAACCACTGTAATTTGTGAACTAAACGTCCGATTGTCATGAAATTTTGACACGTATCATTTGAAGGTTAGTACTTCCTAAAAATCATATGGATTTGTCAATAGTAGCGCCACTTATATGTCATCCTACGAACTTATTGAGTGATGTGTTAGTTTATCCGCTCAAACATCTCGAAAGATATATAATAAAAGATACGGCGAAACGTTTCAGACAAGAGCTGTTTGGTTCGAAGAGGGCGACATCATTTTGTTTAAAGATGACGCCATTTGACCTTGGAAAATTTCAAAATCATCAAGTCAACGAAAGTTCGGGCACTATTGTGACAGTATGTCCTTGAGACTAAATCGAATAAAAAAAGTGCCACTTTTTCTTCCGACAAATAGTTACGAGATATTGTAAATTGAACATCGAAAAAGTTACCAAGTTTTTCTTAGACATCCCAAAAAATACTAGGCAAGTAAAAAGTATCTCAGACAAAAGTTGTTCAAATTAATCGGTAGAAAAAGACGAATAATAAAAATGACAAAATAAAAAATAAAAAAATAAGGAATAAAAAATAAAGAATAAAAAATGAGGTTCCTCCATTTAAGAGAAACGATGATCGGTGAATATCTCGAAAGTGGCGCCATCTGTAAACAAGATGATATCGCTCTCTATCTTACGTACATCTTTAAACCAAACACTTTTTGTCCGGAACGTTTTTCCGCGTCTTTCACATATCTGTCGAATATAAATATTTTAGTGGATAAATTAAAATGAGCCATCCTGTGTGTGTGTGTGCGCGCGCGCGCGCGTTATGTATGTATATGCATGATCTAGAGCGAGACCTTCGCTGGATCTCTCAGTAAATCGATCGATTCAACTGCGTAGCCTATCCTATGTACGCGTGCAGCTCCTTTGTTGGCGAACACGGTCTTAGGTCGTCGGAAGGCTAACAAGGCTAAGCCCGGTATACGGCGACGCATATTGCAACGTAATGCCTCTTTTACGCGCGAGAGAGGCTCGAACAATTTTATTTTTTTTCAATTACTTTATCTGGCAGTATAATTGGTGTATAAAATTTTGGTATCTTTTCATTTTCCTTTTTTCTCTTTCTCTCTGCTGCTCTCTTTCTCTCTCTCTCTCTCTCTCTCTCTCTCTCTCTCTCTCTCTCCCTCCGTTTTCTCATTCCTCGTCTTCTCCTACTTCCTTCCCCCTCCCCACCTGTTCATGCCACCTACACATCTTTGTCCTTATCTATCCTTACTCGACCCAGCGAGGGGTTCTGTTAAATTTAGATACAATATCACAATTAATAGCTCTGTTTTTCGCGCGGCTCTTCTTCACATGCCTACCTGCGTTCGTATCTCGGCATGAACATCGGCTAGAGCGAACTCGATTCGCCGGTCTTCCTTACGCCCGTTTAGATTCGATCGCACGTGATCCCCGGGGATCAGACGACGTCCTCGAGGATGGATAACGCCCTCCGGTTTAGTCGTTTACCGAGAGCGCGTCAGACTCGCGCGCTCTATACCGGAAGAAGGAAGACCTGTTACAGTGACCTAAGAGACGGTTCGGGAACCAGCACTTCGTAGGACATGCATGCTCGCATCTGCGCGAGCGTGTATCTAGTTTAGCGTACCGAACCCGAAGGTACTTCGGTTGTCGGGCGGGTCGCGAGCGAGGCTGTCGCTGCCTCGCGGCGTCTCGCGTTCTCCCGAGAACGACGCGGAGAACGTCGCGACGCGCTCGGTGACGCGCTCGCCTCGCTCGGCGCACGCGCACGAGCGCGCGTCAATTATTCGCTATCTACTAATCGAAGGATCCGTCGTTATACGGCTAAAAGGAACCCGGTCGGAATTCGCCAGGCACCGCACGAGCCAACAGGCGGAAGTCGTGCGTTCGGATGGAACCTCCTCCTCCCGTTGTTCAATCTCCCCCTCACCATCGTCGGTCTGTCCTTGTCTACTTGTAGACCGAGAAGCTAGTAGTCTCATCGATGCACAAGTGCCAGTCGGCCTTTTTTAGGACCGTCCGCGGCGGATCAGCAGCGGATGGACCGAGTCTCCTTCCGGGACTCTGGTGTCTCTATCGTTCAGCTGCTTCTTCAGGATAGCCGCGCGACGACGGGAAACGCGGGAAGGAGGAGGAAGAGGTGCTTGTTACATCTTGTGCTCGCTCGCTCGCTCGCTCGCTCGCTCGCTCGCTTGCTCGCTCGCTCGTTGGCTTACGACGAGAGTTACGAGAGACAGTAGTGTGGACAATGTATATAGGACAGTCCTGGGGCGCTACGACCGGCGGTTTCGCGCCCTCATGCGCGCTTGCCGCCGTTGCTCTCGGCGCCGTTTGCACCGACGATTATTGGCATTTGGCAGTTGGTGTGACATCTCAACGTAGCACTGACGAACTCTGGGGTCGGCGTGGCATGGGTGTCCGCCTCTTACGGACATGGTACGAGCGAGGCGGACGTTTGGCCTATTCGCTGCAGAAACGGGTGCAGGCCTTCTTCCACCTGCACTGAGTGCACCAGAGGTCGCGCGAATTCATCCCGTAGACCTTGCGGCACTTCTTCACGTCGTTGCGAGTTCGCCGCGGTGAGGACGGCATCTTGCCCGTGGAGCCGGACATGTTCTGCTGGTGACACGCCTGCAGCGGCCGTGGCGACAGTTTGATGTGCTTGACGGGCGTGCCCTGAGACAGAAGGTGACGGAGATGTCATTAGACCACGTCCACCGGCATGTCAGTCAGCGGTGAGACCGAGAGACGCTGAAACGCACGATTTTTAATAACGAAACCGAGGGGGAACGAGGACGAATTAACATAGATGTGGATTAGGTGTACAAATGAATAATCCAAACCTTTTCAACCGGCTAAGAAATTAAGTTTCAAATAAGCACATTTTCCCTCTCTTCCACGATTATGTAAGTTTGAGATACAGCTGTTAAAAATTACACTTGGTATGGCGGAAGGCTCAACGTGACAAGGCTCGAAAATTATTCAGTTCGGTACATTCAGTAAAAAATGGTGACAGATAAGATGCGTATCCAACACTGCGTTCTTTACGAATTCCAACAAGGAAAAAATGCTGCAGGAGCAAGCGAATCGTTTTGTTCCTTTATCGACGAAAGTGTTGTATCGTACGATGCATTTTAGTTTAGGCGCTGGTTTAAAAGCTGCGATTTCAGTCCGAGTGACAAAGAAACGTCCTGGAGGCTCTCGGAAGTGCGGCAACAATGATCCGGAGCAACTGCTCGCTGAGAATTCAGCACAAACGCAAAAAGAGCTGCTTGCAGAGCACTTAGGAGTAACGCAACAAACTATTTCCAAACGCCTGCACGAGATATGGGGAAGATTCAGAAAGAAGGAAAATGGATTCCTCATAAACCCACCGAACCCGCCAACAAAACTCGACGAGTGGCAGTGTGTCTTTCTCTTCTCGATAAGCAAGCGTAGAAAGTCTTTTTTGCGGAAGATTGTTACGGGCGATGAGAAGTGGGTACTCTATGACAATCGGAAACGCAGAACGTCATGGGTAAATCCCGGCGGACCACCCCGGTCGCAACATCGGTCGCAAAGCCAAAACACTTCGGAAAGAAGATTCTGCTCTGCACTTGATGGGATATGAAAGGCGTGATTTATTATGAGCTATTGAATTATTACGAGCTATTAAAACCGAATGAAAAAATCACTGCGGACCGCTACCAACACCAATTGATCCGTTTGAGTCAAGAATTAGAACGAAAATACCCGTATAGTGGCAAAGGAGAACGTTCTATGAAATTGTTGCATGATAATGCTAGGCCACACATTGTTCCTACGATAAAAGACATCATAATGAGTCTTGGCTGGGACGTCTTGAAGCACCCACCATTGGCGCATTCACCAGGCATCGCTCTTGCCGATTACCACTTGTTGTCCGGTCGATGCCTTGAGGTCCGATACGCACCTCAAATCAGTAGATGAGATGCCGAAAATGCCGAAAACGACTCTTTATCGTGCCCAAACATTTTTCCGACATGGAATTCATCAGCTGGCTGAAAGTTGGTTCAAAGCTGTAGAAAATAACAGCGATTACTTCGATTGACAAATTTTAGAACAAACTTTCTTCTAAAACAAACCTTGAATTTAGCTGACACAGGATTATTCATTTGTACACCTATAATAATTAGCGATAAGGGCACTCTCTGACGGAGCTGCGGTATTAAAGCGAAAGAAGGAGGCGGAAAGGGGGAGATGGGGGATGGGGGGGGCAGAGCGATGAGAGCGAGAATGCGAGCTTCGATCACGGAGAGAAGCGTCTGAAGAAACGTAGGAAACGGACATTTCGATGAGATCGGTTTCGATGCGCGCGAGAGAAAGTTCGATCGGATTGGCACGACGAAACGAACGAGCCACACGCCGAAGAAAACAGGATTTCCGGTTCTAGGAGCGTATTTGCGGGCCTGACAAGAAGCAGAGATCCCGTCTCTCCTCCGACGAAAGCTCGTCCGGGTCGCGTTCATTCAAGCGAGTCTCTTCTCCTCCCCCCGCCCCCTCCCTCCCGTGCGAGGGGGAAGTGCGCGTCAGTCTCATCGGTCGACGGCGCTTCGTGCGCTTTTACTCGAGAACGCGCGCGATTGCTCACCGGCGACTGCGAGATCGCGTTGTTGGGCTCTCTGGCGCCGACCATCGCGTTGTCGGGGCTGTTGTTCGTGGCAGGAGTCGCCTCGAGACGAAGCTGCTTCTGGTACTCCGGGTCCTCGTGCGGCGGCCTCGCCATGTCCCGGTGAGACATTGTGGGTGGTGAGCTCATATGATCCACGCCGACCTCCTGGTAGTAAAACTCCTCCTCGGGGACGCGCATGTAATCCTTCTCACTGTCCGGCCCCTCGAACTTTTTCGGCCTGCGCAACAAACGCCATTTCCCTCCTTCATACATCCCGCAAACGTTGGGAACGCTCATTTGTGTGGCGAACGCGAAGAAAACTACGCGCGGCTGCGATTCTACCTCGCGGCAGCCCGGAGGAGCTGCGAAGCGTCGCGTTGTGCAAGTATACGATTTGTCAGGCCGATTAATTCTCGACTGGTCGAGACGCTGTCGCTCATGATTGTGTGTGTGTGTGTGTGTGTGTGTGTCGCATGGTGCATGTTACGTCAGCGTCACCGCTGATGCGTCACACAATGGCGAGCCGATGGTCGGCGCGGGAGATCGAGAGGAGCGCCATCGAAATATCTCACGTCGACACGCTTTTCCTCTCGCGCTCCGGAGCTCCCTCTCTCTCTCTCCCTCTCTCTCTCTCTCTCTCTCTCTCTCTCTCTCTCTCTCTCTCTCCCGCGCTGATAAGACGCGCGAGACGTGTTGTAAATCTCATGTTATTAGCATACCCCAGATGTGACTGGCGCACATGTTCCTCGATAAGCGGCACGGTCGCTTTGATTTCCAGACAGCCCGGCCAAGTGCACTTGTAGACCACTGCCGGGTTCGCCTGCAAGCACAAAGAGCATCGTTAGTTGCTTAGCGATACCGCCGATGCGTCGTCGATGGTCGAGCTAGAAGAGCGCGGGGCGAGGGAGGGGGACTTTCGGCTCCGCGACACGGACACGTGCCGTTTTTTTTTTTCTCGTCCTTTCGCCTGCCCGGTCACGCCACGCCGATTTCGCCGATCATGCCGTTTTTCGCCACGCCGATGCCGATTTCGCGACACGCTAATGCCGAAGCGCACTTCTTAGCTTAGCTTAGCTTAGCGTGGGCTTAGCGCGTCTCGGGCCTTGTCGCGCGGCTTTTGACCTTTCGGCCGGAGCGGACGACGTCCGTCGATATACCGGCGGTCCCTCCAGGAGACGCCAATCTCTCCCCCGATTTCTATTCCGCCGCTACGCTCGTTTTCTCCTCGGGAAACCGTTCTCTTGCCTTGCCCTCATTCGCATTCGATCTCTCCCTCTCGGGTTCCTGTGACTGTTCGGGACACAGCGTCAACAACCTCGCAAGCTCCGGCGGCGGCACAACCGCGAGGATACCGGCGATCTCTTTGGAAAGGATGGATCCTTTGGAGAGGATGACGGGGCGGAGGAAAGGGTTGCGCGGTCAGCTTGATGTCGCAAAATCCAGTTCGCTGTTGCACGCTCAATTACATTGTAGTAATTAATCGCTCCATATTCGCGTAAAATACATCACGCGTAACAACACAATGGCGGCATTCAGCAGAAAAAGCTGTTTACCAAGCGCTCAGTGATTATTATCTATGATTGGAGTATTATTCTCTTAGAGATCTTTAACGAATCCAGAGGAATAAAGCAATCAGGAACGATAGCCACTAAGCGCTTAGCAAGCAGCTTTTTCTGCCGAACGTGACCAATGACAATAATTATCTCATCAACGAATCGAGCTGCAATATGAGACGCTAGACCCAATCTACGTCTATTTCCCGCTGTCTCCGTAGCGTTCAAATTTTCCTGCAGGATCACAGGCGACAGGTCCCCCCTTTTACGGCCGCGCAATTACGAGACAACACGTCATCTGATGAACCCACGAGCACCGGATTGCCTGAAGACGGCCCTGCCGCGTGTCGGAGACACGGCGAGCCGAGTGAAGCTAAGCCGCGGCGAGGCGAGGCGAGGTGAAACAAGGCGAGACAAGGCGCGACAAGACAAGGCAAGGCAAGGCAAGGCAAGACTCGGCGAGAGACAAGGTAAAGCAAGGTAAGGCAAAGCAAGGTGAGGTAAGGCAACGCGAGGCTCGGCGAGAGAGGAAAATCGATGCGCGGCAGCCGCGGCGGCTTCGCCGTGCGCACGTTTCTTTGTTTACATCGGCTGGCGGACCGCGCTGAGCGCCGCGCCGGTCACGTGGTATTGATCCAGCGGAGAGAGGAGCGAGAATACGAGAATATACGAGCGCTCGTTCGCGGCGGACCACGCGGTCGCCGATGATCGCGCGCGATCCGGCACGGCGGCCGGCCAACCGGCCGGCCGGCCGGCCGGCCGGCGCGGCGCCGAGAGGCCGAAGGACGACCGGCATTTTCCTGCGAGGAAGCTTACGCACGCGTCGTCCTCAGCCGCGTGCAATCATCCCGCCAGCCCCGAGTGACGATTACCGGCCGACCCGGAGGCCGTCCGGTCGCAGGAGTCGCAGGCGCATCGCGGCGGATGACATTAGTCCCGTCGTCCGATTGCTATTCCAGCGGCCACGAGAGCCCATCGGAGGATTCGTCGCTGTGCTCGGCGCGCGCGTCAAAGTCGCGTCAAATGATTTCCATATTTAGCCGCGACACGGCTCCTCGCGGAGGATCGATCCGGCCGAAATCGCGGCGGTCGCCATGCGCGCTTCGGGACGATTCCCGACGCCGCGCGCCGGGAGATGGTGAGAACGCAGCACACGGCTAATCGGCTATTAACGGTCCCGCGGATCATCAGCCGGCGGTCACACGCAACGCGCGCGCGCGCGCGGGCATTTTCCAGCGTAACGGGCCGCGCTGAGGAGTCGGACAATCACGGGGCTCCGCTTAATGCGCGAAGGACGCCCCTCGCGCGCGCTCGCGCGCGCGCGAGCATTCCGAGATTAATAAGCTCGCGCCGGCCTGCGGGCGAAACGATTCCAGCGCGAGCACGCATCGCGAGGGGGGCACCGACACGGCGCCCTGGCCATTCAGCCGGCCTAATGAGCGCATGAATATTTACGAGTGACTTTAACGACGGTGCACTTGAGATGCAGGATCTCGGAAAGCCCGTCGATCATCGCTCCTTTCGTCTTCGAATCCGCGCGGATCCGCCGTTATTATTGTTGCGCGTCTCTCTCTCTCTCTCTCTCTCTCTCTCTCTCTCTCTCTCTCTCTCTCTCTCTCTCTCTGCGTCTCTTCTTCCCCTCCCCCTGCCTCTCGAGTTCGATTCTCACGTGTCGAATACCGGGTGACGCAGTGAAAAGGCAGTGACCGAAGAGAGAGAGAGAGGGAGAGAGAGGGGGGAGGGAGGGAACGCGTGGCTGATAGCAGCGACCGATAAGCGCTCGCGCGCGCGCGCGAGCGGTATCGATGCGCGTCTAAAAGGACGCGCGGCGGCGACGAGGACGCGCCGTTTGGCAAAAGCCGCGCGCGCGCGCGCGCGCGCATTCGGCGGCCTGAAGGGCCCTCGTGAGGCGCGCGCGCGCGCGCGCTGTGCTTAGTGCGCGGTGTGTAGTGACATCACCTTTGAAACGGTACATGCGAATGCGGCGCGCTGTTGTGCGCGGCGGCGTGGCCATTGCCGAGGTCACAGACCTTCTACGCCGCTCGGCAGGCAATGCTCCCTTTGCCTTGCCCTGCCTTGCCTTGCCTTGCCTTGCCGTGCGCACCTCGTCGTCGATTTGGCGTGCTCCGGAGAACTCTTCGCAGCACTCCTCCTTCTCTCCTCCTCGTCGCTGCCCCTCCTACCCCCTAGCCAACCCTATCGCTCCCTCCGCGACCTTTCGCACACGCCGCGATGATTCCGATAGCACTGGTCCAGAGGGCACCACGTGTACCGGCGAGAGTCCCCATCGAGTCTCCTCTTTCTCTCTGTTTGTTTGTCTGTCTGTCTGTCTTTCTTCCTCCCTCTCTCTCTCTCTCTTTCTCTCTCTCTCTCTCTCTCTCTCTCTCGGCTGCCGGTCGCCTCCGCGAATCTACTCGCACGCGCATCCTCCTTGCGAGAGAGGGGAGAGAGAGAGAGAGAGAGAGAGAAAGAGAGACGCGTGCAAAAACATGGGTTCTTTTCGAGAATCGTAAACTACGCAGTTTTATGTTGCGAAATTCCCGATACGTTTTCGCGAGTGCTGGCGTGTGGTGACACGGACGATCAATTATGATGACATTTCTGCGGAGTTGCTGTCGCGAAACACGCCGGGTGAGGAGACGCTCCGCGCGGAGGAGAGCGCCCAGAGAGACGCATTATCGTCCGGCGCTCATTACCAAACGCATTCCGGCCTCGATGCGTCTCTCTCCATTGGCGCATGACGCAGCAGCGTGCGACGCTCGCGCGAAATTTGATCGATGACGCTTTCTCGCGAGTCGCAGGTCGCCGCGGAAATGGCGCGACAAAGGCTTCCGCCGGCCTCCTCTCTCTCTCTCTCTCTCTCTCTCTCTCTCTCTCTCTCTCTCTCTCTCTCTCTCTCTCCCTCCCTCTTTGTTTTTTCGCGGCGTAGGAGGAAGAGGAGGAGGAGGAGGAGGACGCGACGCGGAGCGGAGATGGACGCGATGTAAATCCGGCAGAGCGATCTCCCCCTACCTCTACCCTTTCTCTCTCTCTCTCGCTCTATCTAGCGCTCTCCCGAGAGCGCAGGGATGAGTAAGCCCGACAGGGTTGCCGCGATGCGCAGAGCGGCCGTGCCGCGCTGCGGGCACGACGCGCGGCGCGGCGTTTCGTGGGCGCATCGCATCGCGTGCCAGATACGACGTTGCCGGCGGTAGAAGAGATAGCCGCGGCCCGTTGGGGATGCATACGCACGGGTTGGCTAGCCGCGGAGAGCGGGCAAATCCACCGGTCGGACATCCACCCTACACACACAGCAGCCTCGGCCGGCTTGTTCACGCGCGCGCGTCCTTCCCCCCGCACTCTTCCCACTACTTTCGCGCGCAGAGCAACGGTTCGCGCGAGCGAGCGAGTGCGCGAGCGAGCGAGTGAGCGAGCGCGCTCGTGCGTGAAAGTCCGCTCGTCACGAAAATTACGCACGTGTGCGACACGCCGGCGAGCGAGCGAGCGAGCGAGCGAGAGCGAGAGAGAGAGAGAGAGAGAGAGAGGAGCAGAAAGAGAGAGAGAGAGAGAGAGAGAGAGACGCTTTTGCGTCGTTCCTTCTCCGGTGTTTGATAAGCGGCACGCGCGCGCGCTTTCGAAACGATTGCTCCACCGCTCGTCGACGTAGAAGCGGCCAGTGTTCGACCGAAGTTCGGTGATTCGCCTCGCAGGAATGCGTTAGAAGTCAATGCTCCGAGGTTTACTGCGTTGAGTGGATGTCAAATTACGTGCGTTCGCTCGCTCGCGAGGTTACCTTCTCTCTCCGTTTTCCTTCCGCTCGCGATTTCAATGCGCTCTCGTCGTTCCATTACATCGATGATCAATCATAATTCGCGCACCCACCCCGGCGTGCGGACGAGCGAACGAGAGAGAGGGAGAGAGAGAAGAGGAGAGGGAGGGGGAGAGAGAGAGGGAGAGAGAGAGAGAGAGAGAGAGAGAGAGAGAGAGAGAGAGAGAGAGAGAGAGAGAGAGAGAGAGCCGAGCATCAAGGCCGTTCCTGCACACGCGGCGCAGGCACCGCCGCGCGCGGCGTGTTTACGAATCGCGCATCCCATCCGCGCCGGTCGTTGAATGTATACTCGCTCGCTCGCTCGCTCGCTCGCGGTGGCGCAAAAATCGATTCCAAACTACAAGCTGCGGCAACCTGCTTTTCACGCGGGCTCTCGCTTTCTCCGAGTAGCCGACTTGCGAGCCGCCGGCTGTTGCACAAAGGTGCGCGCACGGTTCTATATTTTCCCTGCGTCGCACT